AAATTAATTCACACCAACAAGACATATGTTCATATTTCAGAAATGTTGTAATGAGCACACCATCAAAACATGAAAATCCCAGCCTATAATCAGACACAGGCTTGCTGGGGACTTTTTGCTGTCTTGTGGAATTTTGACAAGTGGGAACAACTTTGAGAAAATTCGCCTTTTGTTTAAATTCCTTGGTATCGGGATTGTGTCTAAGACTACTCGCTACCAAATACAGTCCAAACATTGTATTTATGTAATGAAGGAAGAGTTTGACAAAATAATACACCAAAATCTTGAAAAAAAGGAGATCATTGTAGCAGGTAAGTTTGATATAACATTGATAAAATAAGTTATATTTGAAGGAAAACAAAAGTAATTGTGGGTCAAAGTATTGAGTCACACTGAACAATGTGATCATATTATCCAATAGAAGGATACTTGTGGATAAGAGCCCATGATAAGCTTTGATAGTGCACCCATGATAAGCTTTGATAGTGATGAGTTTGTATTGATACTTCTTTGATCAACCAATGACAAAAAGACTACATTATGTTTTATATTTATATATATTTTGACTTATTCTGTCTTATCATATTTTTAGAAGTATTTATCAGCTTGCAGGATTTTAGAGGATATATTAAAACTTTTAACTTTGATTTAATCAAAAATGAAGTCAAAGAATGCCATGATAACTTTTCAGGGGATGAAAGAATGGATTAACCTGGTCACACTGCACAGTACTGTACCTATACTTTACTTGAGTATGAATCAAAAGACAGTGTTGTCAGTGTGATAATCAATAAGCGAGAAACAGACATGGAAGTCTGCACTGATGCCAGTATTTGAATTGCAGCATTTATAAGTAAATGAAATTACACATGATATAGTTACTATATTTAGCATGCAATATAGTAAGAAAGAAGAAAAAGGTTGAATATTGTTTTTGTAAAGCTCAACAAATGCTAGACTTTACAAATATAGTGTGGCATTAGTGAAGAATATTGATAAATCTTACAACACATGCAATTCTATTGTTTGAAATTGTATAATGCAAATTTCATAAATTGAAGTGAAAATTACCCCACAAAAATGTGTAATAACATGTATTATGACTATAGATAAGCCTATATTGTTTGTTTCAGCACAGGAGCATAAGGGTGTAACTCACTCATTTGATACTTGGCATGGGGAAAGAAGGTAGGAAGTGTTAGTAATACAATCATTATGATTAAGAAGCATATCAGTAACATATATAATGTTTTAATGGTAGTGAAATGTCTCAATAATTTAAGGACAAAAAGTGGTGAACTTGTTGCTCAATACACTCTAAGGTTTGTGCAAAACTGTTATTTATAGTCATTCATTAAATAAAGGTTATGCATATTTTTGTTCTGTAATTCATTGAGAAATCTTACTTTTTTCTCTAAAAATGATGATTGCTGTATTATAAATTCTTTATAAAGATTGTTGACAGGTTATATGGCCGTATATATTTGGCTGTTTGCAATATAACCCTCGCCTAGCGACTCGGGTTATATTTACAAATAGCCATTTATATAGAGCCATGTAACCTGTCAACAATCTTTATAACTAATAGTATAAATGATTATTTATATAATGTATTCATTCAAAATATTGCCTTTATTGACGACAAGCTACAGAGCTTCTAAGAAGGAATTAAGTAATTTATATAACATGTTTATTCTGGATTTTTCCTGGTTACTAGTATCTATATATAAACTTTTTATGACAATCCATTTTTTTTTTTCAAAACAATAACAGATTGCTACTGAGGAATAAAAACAAGGAGTTGCGAAGTTGGGTTGCTGATGTGATAAACCACTTTCGGTATTGTTATTGAAATGCAAGGGGTTCAGAGGATATGTTGTTGGTATGTATTGTTTTGCCTCTTCTTGGCTTTGCTTATAAGTAGCCTCTTTTTCTTTTGCTACCAAATAGTTTCTAGTTTTTGCCAATTTAATTACATCTTGTTAAACTTTTTGAGCATAAAGGTTATTTTTAAATAAATAAGAATAATTATATCTTCTGAATTTTAGGTCGACTTTAAAAAAGAATAGAAAAATAGAGGAATTTTTACAGTCATGTTGGCGTTCCTGTTGCCATTCACAAACTAAACATTGATCATAACTTTTTAAGTTCTTATTGTATTTCTTCATACTCGGCCACAACAACCCTTTGAACAAGACCTTTAAGAAGACTACACTAAACTCGATCTAATTCATGAATGATTTTGACCTTCAAGGTCGAATGTCTAAATTTTGCTTTGAATTTTAGCTCACCTGTCACAAAGTGACAGGGTGAGCTTTTGTGATCGCTTTTCGTCCGTCGGTCGTCCGTAAACTTTTACTTTAAATGACATCTCCTCATAAACCACTAAGCCAATTTCATCAAAACTTCACAGGAATGTTCCTTTGGTGGTCACCTTTAAAAATTGTTCAAAGAATTTAATTCCATGCAGAACTCTGGTTGCCATGGCAACCGAAAGAAAAAACTTTAAATATCTACTTTTAAAAAACCCTAAGAGCTAGAGCTTATCGCAAAAATGATGGTTTCAGAACATACGGAATATTATGTTGTAGTAGCTTTCTGAGGCTTTGTATTTTTCTACGAGCAGCGGTGGAAAATTGATATCTCGCAAGACCGAAGGTCGAGCGAGATATCAATTTTCAAACGTTGCGAGTAGAAAAATACATAGTCTCAGAAAGCTACTATAACATAATTTTCCTTTTATTATATACCTATTCGTTTTATTCAGAAAATGAAATGTAGTCGTCAAGAAATAAATTCATGACTGACGGATGAATACGTAGTTCTTGCAAACCTGCCACGCCTTTAATAATTTTGGTTCCCGTTTCCAAATGCAACGTTATACAAAGCTAAGATCGGAACCAACGTCAAAAATAGTCCGGCACTTCCATATATGGTACCGTATTTGTCACTAACATAATACGAAAATTTCTATCCGTTAAAGCGTATTTGTGCTACAATATTTGCGTGTATTTTATGGCGAAAATTTATAGGTATATAATAAAGCTTTATATACAGTCACAAACTGCACTACACATTGAAACAGGCTCAACATTCGCATATATAGAGTTTGTTCTCTGTTATCATGTCTCACAAATCAACGATGACATTTTTATTGTCTTCTTCACTGATTGGGAATCTATTTGTGACTGTATATAAAGCTGTTCTGAAACCATCATTTTTGTGATGGTGGATGAGCAGTGGCTATGCTTTCATGACTGTTCTGCCAGGCGCTGTGCCGTAATTGGACTGGTATATCGATGTGGTGGTATGTGTGTATATATTCTCTCATTTCTATAACAATTTATCTGCACACTTGTATCTTTATCTAATCCCACGTAGGGGAAAGTATAACTGTATTGGATTTAATTATCCTTCTTTATATATACTTTATCTGTCTAAATTCATTGTATCCTACGGATCTACTTGATCTTACGGGATCCAGTTGACTTTCGGATATAGATATATAGATATACTCTCTCATTTCAAAATATAACATAGGCCGTTTTGAAAAAAAACTTCATATTTCAACGTCTAATTATTATAGGCGTTGAAATATGATTTTTTTTTAAACCGGCTTATATTAAGTTTTATTTGATAAATATGATGGGATTGACAAATATACATTTTATTTGGATATTAAAGGCGTTTTGAGCTCCACACCCAAAGTGTCTGTGAGACAATATAAGAAAAATAATCTTAACGGCCTGACGTGGATTTTCTTGCAGTCAGAATATGCTGTCCATTATTCGTATTGAGCTACCGTTTACGTAGACTCCATTACAATTGACGATCCGTAAATAATATATCATCGCGAATTTACTATTTTGGTAGCTTTATTGGGTCATTTTATTAAAACGGTTAAAAGAAACAATTTTAAGTAAAGTACAAATGAACACGCATTGTTTACATTACAGTGCGTCAAATTCAGGCATGTGACAATTCGTTACAAGTAACCTAGTCACTGATTGGCTGAAGTGTAGACACGAAATTTCCTGTCTAAAAATGAACCTACAATTTTAGCAGAGGTAAGAAAGTGAGCGATAGTGGAATGTTCGACCGATGCGCAGGAGAGTAGGGTACAACCGACCACAAATGAATATATATTAAAGAAATAAAGTCATCAGCGGGAAATTATACATAGAAATATCACACGAACAATCACGCCCCAGCCGGGACTCGAACCACGGGTCTCTGTATCAGTATCCTATGGTAATAAAAGTGATAACGTAACAATAAAGTTGAAAATAACTTTAATATATAAGGTCAATTAGCACGAAGAAAACAAAACGACTTACTGGATCGGCAATCCAGAAACCGGGGTTCGAGTCCCGGCCACGACGTGCCGATTTTTCGTGTGATTTTTCTATGTATTATTCCCGCTAGTGACTTTCTTTCTTTCAAATAAAAAACATAATAACAAACCTATTTAATTTGTGTTATTAAATCATATTTTATTATAATATTTACTGTTTTATTTTTCCCGTAGTGTTGGTCATTTGTCAGCATATTTTCTATGTTATATATAATATTGTTTATTATAACTTTTTTGTATATATACATATAAAGTTCAAATGGTAATATTAGTTCGCCGTAGCTTTCGGCCTTCTTTGGTGGCATTTATTATACATCAAATATATACACTCTACAATGCAAAGTATACAGAATTAAGTTTAGTTAAATTGCATTGAAAGCTATAAGACAGTATCAACAGTTCAAAATCGGTGCATGGAAACAAAAAATACTAAGCAATGAATGTGAAGACTGTTAGTCAAGAAAAACATCGGCTTGGTTTTGGACACATACGGTCAGAAATCCATAAACACCAGTAAGACGATGAAACCACTCGGCCATGTCTCCACATGACATAATTTTATCATTGTAATTTTTCAATACCCGAGTAAATGGAATACCACCACCTATTTCGGTACTTTTCTCATAGAAAAAAACTGACAACAAAATGTAATTTCAGTATTTGATGTATTATTCTGACTCAAGAAAATAATTCAATACAAAATAAACTCAGAATAAAATCTTATTGAACATGAATAATTTGCTAAAGTTTGTCTGCGAATATCGCCATTGTGTAAATTTGAAGATATGAAAAATGTTTTACTTTACTCGGTGTTCAAAAGCTATAACTATGTCCAATGTATAAACCGAGTAAGGTTTCAATAACAATTTGAATACAGAATATATTTGCATTTGATTTACCATACTATTGAAACCAATTCAATCACTTGAGATGATTCATAGAGCTTACAGTATGTACTCAAAGTTAGTTGTCTGGTGCAACCAAGAATCCTGTAAATGAACATTGATTATTGGTTTGTAAACTGTCAGGAGCAGTGCATAGTCCAATATGTACTACATCATTACTTTGCAAATGTAGAGTTGCAGATATTGTAAAAGAATAAACTCCCTTGTCTTCTTCACGACTATGATTATCTTCATATGAGCCAGCAACGTCATGACCGTTATGAAGTAAAAAGCATTGTACCAAATCAGGATCCGATGCCCATTTTTTGGTGAGTGTGGTAACGAAGTGATAAACACCAGGCACTTGACATTGAAAGTTTCCAGTGGAGCTGTTGTAACTGTTGCCATAGTTTTGATAAAACCTGTGGGAATCTTAGAGATGACCCAATTACAATAATACCATACGCTGTAAAACGCTATTTTTTTGTCTGAAATTACATGAAAATAAAACACCAATGTGTTTAGTACATGATAGTTTAATTCATGAAAAGTATGCGGTACCAGTACATCACCATGTTCGTATATGATCCTGTATAGTTCAATGTGAGACGTGGAATTTTGTTTCCTTTTTCGGCCGAAGGCCGTCTGATTTCACCTTGACTTTCGCTTAAATAAACAGTAAAGAAATGAGTATAGGCAGATTTTTCATTGGTCATTTTAACACTAATAGCCTGTTCGATTGATACTTTAGTAGAGCTGCCGTTATAGGTAGAGGTCTGTTCGATTGCGCGATGGCAAGAAATATTGGTAAAAAATATAAATCAGAATAAATATAAAAATACAATAATGATAATTTTCTAGATGTTTCTAACAGCTTTTTAATAAATATATGGAATTGAATATGACAAATCGCATTTTTGATACTTTTGCGTTCGATTGGGTTTCTCTTCTAACTTGTTCTAGTCATTATATTCTCTTCTCGGGCATAAGACGATAAAAACGAACTTTCGACTTATTTACAGTTGCAAAATTCTCCGTGGAATGAGTGTACAGTATCTTCTAAATCTTTGTTTTATTATAAATTCCTATTCAAATCAAATTCAATTTTGATTAAAATCAAATAATGTAATGTTATGTGTATAATTGATAAAAACATTGCGGCTAACAATGAACTGAAAACTATTGAGGACGAATAAAATGTTCTGTTTGCGGTTAGCATGGTTATTAGTAGCTTATCCTATGCAAGTTAACAAGTTTGACTTTGGCCGAGTATCTTTTCAAAGATTCTTCTTGTTTTCTTTGGGTTCTACGTCGCACCAACATAGTAGAGGTCATATGGCGACTTTCCGGCTTTTTTGGTGGAGGATGACCTCAGGTGCTTCTCCGTGCATAAATTATTGCACAATCGGGCACCTGAGTACAACCACGGACATAATGTAAGCTAGCTGTATAACTTCCTCAAATGAAATAATCCAAAAAATAGAGATAAACAGAATCCCTAAAGAAAGCCCAACACGACAAAATTGACAATGTTGCAGACTCGGTCTGATTGAGCCTGTTCATGGACGGTACTGGATAGTGCAAGTTACCGTCCACGCCCCCCAGCAAAGTCCACAATAGTTCGCAACTACAGCGGTGGAGATGTCAACGACCTTATCCACTCGGTCACGGATGCCCCAGAAAATGTGAAAGGTAGTCTTTGTAATGCAACTTGTATTATTCTGTGCATTCAATACACACAGTAACCGTTAACTAACAACATGTACGCTTCATTAATTATTGGTATACTTTTGTGATTAATTACTCTATTGAATTAATAAAGATAAATTCCATGTTAAAACTTAAAAGTACGTGTGTATAAAGATCTTCAAGAAGTATCTCGCTGTATACATGAATATCGTCTGTCCATATGCTTAGGTGTGACAGTCAGAGTGCCTTAACATTGAATGATACGACAAGTGACAGGGACGTCGACAAAACCACGTGACGTTATTCTATGGAATGCAATAGCTGCCTCGTGTTGATACACTTCGTTTTTTATTTTTCCTAAAAGCGTCTTATGTATAATAGTACTGTTGGCTTGCCAACATTTAATGAGAACCTGTCTTTACGAAGCCTTATTAGGTCAAATTTTCATGTTATCTTGTCAAAACGTGGTGCTGACTTGTCTAAACACTGTCTTATTGCCTCAAATTGACATGGTATTAAGTCAAATCCGGTGTTTACATGCCTAATAGAGGTCTAAATATGTCTAACAAGAACGCCATCGTTTCGAATTAAGATTTCCAAATGTCTAAACACAGCCTTGTTTCAATGTTGTTTTGAATTGTCTTGAAATTGTCTTAATATGTGAATCAGTAGTGTGTTATCTTGTCGAAACTTGGTGTCATCTTGTCCAAATATGATCCTTGTTTGTTATGACACTTTTGTTTTATATCAAATTGTCATTTTGTCTTGTCCAAATGTGGTATTGACTGTCACATTTTGTCAGACTGCCATGTCACTGTGTTCAAATTCGGCGTTATCTTGCCTAAAAAATGTCTTTTATTGTCAAAATAGCATGTTGTCTTGTCAAAATGTGGTGGTAAATTGTCTAAAACTTATTTTGTGAAATAGTAGTGTTATCCTTGTTGATCTTGTTTTTCATATTTTATCTTGTTCTTTGTGCAAACTTTTCAAAGTCATGTCTTATTATGTTCACATGTAGTGATATCTTGTTCAACCTTTACATTGACGTGTCTGAATAGTGTCCTATTTTGTCAAACTGTTATGCTGGCTTGTTTTGTTTGGTGTTATTCTGTCTTATTGTGCCAAAACATCATGACTGTTGTTTTCCTGTCTAAAAATATAGTTATTATGAGAAATACTATAATTGTTGACATGCCAATAAATTATATTCGTTTGTGTTAACGTTATTTTATTATGTCGAACTATCACGCTATTATATCCTAATGTAGATTCAACTTGTCTAGATTCGTCTTTTTATGTCAAATGCAAATGTAGTAATACTAGTATCATCTTCTCGAAACGTGGCGATGACTTGTCAAAATTTAGCTTTTTGTCAAAGTGTCATTTTATTTTGTCAAGGTCCGGTAATAAATAGACTAAATATCGTCCTTTTATGGCGAAGTATCATTTTTTTTCCTTTTTAAATGTGGTGTCGACTTGAAAATACACAGTATCATTATGTAGCGTTGACTTGCCAATTTATTACGTTAACTTGTCTAAATACCATCTCAGTATGTCAGATATTCGTGTTATCCTGTCCAGAGGCGATGTTGACCCGAGTCCGCGCGAATAGAGATGGCAGAGCGTTAAAAGATAAAGCAAAAAAGAAAACGGGACAGTTTAACAAAATCAGACAGCGCTTTCTCAAAACAGAACTAAATTTGAACAAGAAATGTCGAACGACACATATGCCCCCTTTCTAGCCCTTGACTCATATTATTGGTAATTTTGTTAGAGAAACTTGCCATAAATGGGAATTTTAAAGTATTCAATTATGAAAAAAAGAAAAATAATGAAGACTTTGCAATGACTAGTTTTCAAGATAATGAGACATTTAAGGCCCCTGTGACCTTGACCTTTGACATAATGACTACAAAATCTAAAGGGGTCACTTACTAGTTCTGACCAATCAATATTAGAAATATGAAGACTAAGTGATGAATAGCTTTTAAGATAATAAGCGGAAACTATTCTCCTCACATTTAAGGCCCCTGTGATCTAGTGACTCCAAAAGCAATACGGTTTATCTGTTGGTTATGACCAATCAATATGTGAAATATGAAGACTTACTGATAATTATCTTTTAAGATAATGAGCTGAAATCCTCTACCATTCAAAGACCCTGTGACCTTGACCTTTGACCTGGTGACCCCCAAATCAATAAGGGTCATCCACTAGTTATGACCAATCAATATGTGAAATATGACGACTTTGTGATGAATTGTAACCAAGATAATGAGCGGAAACCATTTTGACATTTAAGACCCCTGTGACTTTGACCTTTGACCCAAAATCAAAAGAGGTAATGTACTAGTTATGACCAATCAGTATGTGAAATATGTAGACTTTGTGATGAATACTTTTCATGATAAACCAGCGGAAACATTCAGACTTTTAAGGCCCCTGTGACATTGACCTTTAACCTAGTGGCCCTAAAATCAATAGGAGTCATCTAATAGTTATGACCAATCTATATGTGAAATATGAAGACTTTGTGATAAATAGTGACCATGATAATAAGCAGAAATCATATGAACATTCAAGGCCACTGTGACTTTGACCTTTGACCTAGTGACCCCAATATCTATAGGGGTAATCTACTAGTAATGACCAATTAATATGTGAAATATGACGACTTTGTGATAAACAGTGACCATGATAATAAGCGGAAATCATATAACCATTAAATGCCCCTGTGAGCTTGACCTTTGACCTAGTGACCCCAAAATCTATAGGGGTCATATACTAGCTATGACCAATCTATATGTGAAAGATGAAGACTTTGTGATCAATACTTTTCAAGATAATCAGCAGAAACCATTTCGACATTTAAGGCCCCCTATGACCTTGACCTTTGACCTATTGACCCCAAAATCAATAGGGGTCATCTACTAGTTATAACCAATCAATATGTGTAACATGAAGACTTTAGGATGAATAGTTTTTAAGATAATCAGTGGAAACCATTCTGATATTTAAGATCCCTGTTACCTTGACCTTTGGCCTAGTGACCCCAAAATCAAAAGGGGTCATATACTGCTTGTGACCAATCACTATGTGAAATATGAAGACTTTGTGATGAATACTTTCAAAGATAATCAGCAAAAACCATTTTGACATTTAAGGTCCTTGTGACCTTGACCTTGACCTAGTGACCCCAAAATCAATAAAGGTCATCTTCTAGTAATGATCAATCACTATGTGAAATATGAAGACTTTGTGATGAATTCTTTTCAAGATGATCAGTGGAAACCATTTTGACATTTAAGGCCCCCTTGACCTTTGACCTTGTGACCCCAAAATCAAAAGGAGTCATCTACTAGTTATGACCAATCACTGTGTGAAGTATGACGACTTTGTGATGAATACTTTAAATGATAATCAGCGGAAACCATTTTGACATTTAAGGCCCCTGTGACCTTGCCCTTTGACCTAGTGACCCCAAAATCAATAGGGGTCATCTACTAGTTATGACCAATCAGTATGTGAAATATGAAGACTTTGTGATAAATAGTTTTTTACATAAATAGCGGAAACCATGTGGTCTACCGACAGACAGACTGACGGACCGACAGACCGACAGACCGACATAAGCAAAACAATATACCCCCTCTTTTTCGATGGGGGGGGGGGGGCATAAAAATTAACACAATTATAAGACATACTAGTTCAGACTTTTTCTGACAAGAAAACATTAATTTTGACAATAAAACACCTCTCTTTTACATTTTAAGAATGATTTGGACGGATTATAACCATAGTTCGACAAAATACCGCAATTTTTGACTGATATAAATAAAAATGCTTTTTATTGTTGCTTTAATAAAAGGCTTTGTAAACTATATTATCGAGAGTGAAAACATAATAGCCGCATATACAAGTAGTCCCTAAACAATGTTTATTGGTAGTTTAAAGCCGTTTTTTTTTCTTCTTTGTCTATAGTGACAAAATCATGTGGAGTGTTATTTTGAATATTGATTCACTTATCAATTATAAAACTTCTTTGTTATCCATTATTGAATTCATTTTCATGGTATTTCAGGATCATTGATTCCAGTACCTTTTTGTTGAGCACAGAATACCATTTTAGCAATGCCAGGGGAAATAAAACAGAAGTTTACACTGTTGCACTTATCATGATCTCTCATGCACATACTTTAATATCTTTTTTTCCAGTTATGGGTATATAATTGTCATATGTATCTTTTTGTCGGATTATTTTATATTTTTATATATAACAAGAAGTTTACATGTTTGTTAAACAAAAATGCCCCAGATTTTTGTCATCAACAATTTTTCGATAATAGTTTACCAAATTGAATATACTCAGTTATGGACAGAAAAATTGCTAAAGAAATTGTTAACACAGTCATATATTTTGTCAGAGTCATGATATGTTCTTACTGTGAACAATACAAGTTGGGTGAAAAAGTTGAAAAAATATTCAATTCTCTAATCAAAATTTATCATATATGAAAGAAGAAATACGTGACCAAAAACTCCATCCAACCTTAAAGGATCACCCGAGGTATGCGTTTTTTTTTAATATGAGACAAAGAACAAAATACAAAGGCTGTATAAGAAAAAGTCTAAAATAATTTTTTACGCTCAAGTGACCTTGACCTTATGACCCCCAACACTGGACCACTAAAGGTATGATCTTTCCTAATATGAAAACTATATGTCTATAAAGAAGCTGTATAAGCAAATGTTTTGAAAAATCTATTTTTGGCACAAAATTAGTTTAAGTAAAGAAAAACAAGGTGTAATCGAGTCTGTTCGCGAGGGATAAAAAAATAGAGATCTCTAACCCCCGTGAGCATCAGCACTTATTATTAAAGAATTTGTGTGCTGGAACCTATGACCCTGATGTCCTGATGGATGTATAAATACTAAAAATGACGAACGAAGAACAAACACCATGGCATTTCTTATTTGGATGTTTCTCGAATGAGACTTTGATGCTTAATCATTTCATCATTTAAAAAATTACCAAAAGTTAAGTTTAAATAAAAAATACTAAATAAGAATTTTACCCGGACACAAAGTCCTTGAACATGGCGTCATTTGGTTTGAATCTCCATCGCAATATCGTCCAAGCATTGATGGCCTAGGGTTTGTACAAGTTCGACTTCGGCTTTTAATACCACCGCCACAGCTATGGCTACACGAGCCCCAACTGCCCCAATTAGACCAGACACCGTCTGTTCAATTTAATATATCATTAAAAAAACATATTATCATCCGGCTTGAATAGTTGTTGTTAAAAGACAGTAACGTTTCATTAAAGATTGAATAGCATTAAATTTTTTATAAAAGTCATGTATGCCAATGTGCCAAATTCGAAAGAAATCAGAGAGGAAAATTTCTTTGTTGATAATATCTAAATATGTTGCCTAAGCCATTGTTAACAATCAATTATCATAGTATTGCAAGCAATCCATAAGTCCCCTACCGGTTAGAACCCAAGCAACAATCTTATGGGTCATTGACCATTCAATTATATCATTGATTGAATGAATGAATGAATGAATGAATGAATGAATGAATGAATGAATGAATGAATGACATGAATAAACTTAAATCTTTTGAGTTCTAAGTGTGTCTATATCATAGTTATGTGTTACTTTCCTTGCCAAATAAGGAAATTTTGTTAATACAACAGATTATCAAAAGGTCCAATTTTCTCATGATGCAAAAGTATAACAAATGTTTCAACTATTCTTTATTTTGATTTTTTTTTTTTTTTTGGAAAAAATCTTTAAAGTGGTCTCAGGAAACAGTTTTTATGAACAGACAGACAGACAGAGAGACTGAATGAGACTCTAAAGTTAGTTTTTTACCTAGTATATATATAACAGAGGAGATAACTCTTGAAAAAAAGATGCTACATTTATGAACATTGTCATTCATGATGATACCATTTATAGTCACAAAGAAGAAAAGTAAAAAAAAACAATTTTCAAATATACCATTAACATGTATAGTAACAAAGATGAACATTATAAAAAATATAATGTTGGTGTTGATAGTGAATGTTTTTTCTTGAATTTGAAGTAAATCCATGAAGAAGAATGAATAAGAACAATTCAAAGTTTAAAGAGGAAAAAATTCTGGAGGTATGGATTCTAGATTTATAAACCTTGTCATATAACTATGATGTGGGAGTTTGAATTAGATCCTATAAGGTATAAAGAAGTTGGGAGTAAAAATACCAATTTCTTGAAAAAGTTCAAGGGGGACATAATTCTGAAAATAGTCTTGCTAGAGTATTGAACCTTCTCACATATGTTGAGTGATAATAAGAAACATACATATGAAGTTTAAAGCAGATACATCAAGAAAGAAAGAAGTTATTTAAAAAACAACATTTTTTTCATGTGAATTCTAAGTTTAAGGGAGGTAATTCTGATATTTTTTGTGCTAGAATTGTAAACCTTGTCACATGTGATGTGGTTGACGACTTTTTTTTAAGTTTGAAGTAAATACCTTAAGAAATAAGAAATTATAGTGAAAACGCATAAAAACTGGAATCAGAAATCTTAAAATTCAGTCTATTTGTTGCCATAGCAACCAGACTTTTCAACATAGGAAGAAAAGAAAAAGACGTGCATAATTTCAATACTGCCATCTATCCATATATCAAGTTAAATAAAAATATTTTTAGTACTTTTGAAGTTATCGCGGGATCCAGTTTTGTGGACGGACGGACTGACAGACGGACGGACGTACATACAGACGGACGGACGGACGGACATACAGACAGACGAACGAAGGATAAACCTAAAGTCCCCTCCGGTTAAACCGGTAGGGGACTAATAAAGGTTTTTATATAACAAATACGATGATGCAACATATGAACATCTGATAAGACTTAAATGTATTTTTCCTATATAAGTCTATATAAATCAAGTGACCCCAGAGGCGAGACAAATATTGATCCAATGGGCATAATTAATATTACTTTTACAAAATAAGACTTAAATATTTTTTTCCTATAAAAATCCTAATTAAATCAATTACCCTCTGGGAGGGGCCATTTTTGGTCATAGAAAGTCCAACCCTTAATTCTACACGTCGTTCATTATAAATTACATTTAGTTATATTATTTAGTTATTTATTTATTATACCTTTATGACATACATGAATTTCACATACATTCATTTCACATCAATACATAATAGTATCAAAACATATAATAGATTGTTAATGTTGAATGTTTTATCTTATACTTAAATTCTACTTTGTATGTCATATTTTTTACTCTTCAATAAATAAAATAATGAGGATTTGGGTGAGAAAAGAGTGATCATACTCATGTATCGCAAACGCATATTTAAAGATCCTGTATGTTTTGTGATTGATAGTGTTGCTGTGTGTATACAACACTTGCAAAAAATTATATATGTATATAATTATGCAAATTAAACAAATTTCAAACATCGAAAAATATGTAAAATGTGTACTGCAAATATTTGTGCACATTATATTTAATCAATAAATTATATGCATTCATTTCTTATTGGAAAATTTGATTTAGAATTTATAGAAAATAAATTTCTAATTACCTCCCTTTATTTACATGAAATGTTAAATTGGGTAATATCTTTATAGATAATGCTTATTGGAACTTACAATATTGACGAATCTCAATTTTAGCATCAAATTTTTTTAATAAAACCATGAAAAAAATTTGTTACAGGATCTTTAAAGTTGTCATTAGTCTAATAAATGTTCTGGGTTGAATGTTTGTGGTAAAGAGTACAAACTTTAAATTTGAAGGGACCAAAGATGGTACTCAACCTTGTTTTGATCAACTGCAATTTCCTTTTCAAAAGTAATTCTGAGTTTTAGGCATGACAGAAAATTATCAGAAAAGGTCACTTTTTGTCTACATTTTTGTTGAAAAATAAAATATTTCTTTAGATAAATAATCACTCTTCCAACTGGTTTGCAAATAACCAAAACTATGTTTTTAGCTGAAAAGAAAAGGTAACCCGGTAAAATTAAAAAAATTCCTAGTCTATTTCACATTAGTAATACACTATGACATATCCAGGAAAGATGTTCCATACATAAGTAACATTTCTGCCAAAAAGCTTTAATTTCTTTCCATTGTTTCAAAAGTTACAGAGTAAACACGAAATTTTGAAATTCAGACAAAATTGCAAATAGTGACCTTGACAAAAAGAAAGTCAAACCTGCGCTCTTTATGGTTTACATTTTTGCCAAATATTTTCGATTTCCTTATTTCGGTTCAAAAAAATACAGGTGGGACACCAAATTGCTTACACACGAGCGGATTGACAGACGAGGTGCATAACAATATACACCGGATTTTGTCAGGAATATGGAAAAATACTGCAAGGTGATATGGTACAATTCAATTTTATAGAATAAATATCAATATTTATCTATATTTATACCTGTACAAGCACCAGGTATGCATACTCTATCATCTTTCGAATCACCAAAACAATGGTCACCGAATAAAGCTGGATATGGCTTCGAACACGATCTGTCCCTTCTCTGCATGCCGACCCCACAACTGACTGAACAAGATCCCCACGTAGTCCATTGACTCCATCCACCATGAACTTAATGAGACACATCAGCAAATTAAACACATAATCAAAAGTGGTTAAGAGCCAACCCATGTGCAGCTTAAGCTTATACATGTATATTAAGAGAAAAACCGCGTGTGTTAAAAAGGGAAAGTATAAATAATTCAAACTTCAAAAGCACTCCCTTCTTATTAGATTTCAGCTACGTTTTATCTTTTACACATATTTTACACATCTTAGAATTTGAATGTTAACATAGACACAAAATGACACATCTGTATCGAGTATAAAAAACTACCAGGACAGGCATCATTTTTGCAAATCTTTATGTCAGAGGCGTTTCCAACACAATCAAGACCACCGCCTGCAGGAGCAGGATCCGAGCAGTTCCGAAGTCTTGTTTGAGAACCACTACTACATGTGACGTCACAGCTTGACCAAGATGACCATCTGCTCCAGCTGCCATCAACTTTAGAATAAAGAAGAAACATCGTTTAAGCCTATAATACATTTATTTAAAAAATAGATTTGATTACGATAAATGGTGTACTCAAAATTAAAGACGTCCCTCTCTTTAAGTAAAACGTATAAACAGACTTAGCACTCGTCTCATCAATATCTCTGAAATAAGCGTCCGTCTTTACAAGTAAAATGCAAAAGTTGACTAAGCAGTTAAATGTATCGACTTAGCCTCTTGAAATGTATATAAAATAAACTAAGAGTATGTTTTTTTTTTTCAAATTATTTGAAATAAGAAAAAATAACATATACCATATTAACTCCACAATTGTTTTCCGGTGCATACATAGGTGATGTGTTATATTTCACTTCTACAGGAATGAAAAACGAATGGCCTATATGTTAACACTTTTTCATAGTGGTATTTCATTTTCTACCCTTTAGTAAATTCTTTGCAGATCAACACCGTTTTAGAAACAACGGTTTCGGTGGTGCTTAGAAGTGTTGTTAAAAAGGGATTTAAATTCAATTTGAATTTAAATTTTACGAAAATTTGATTGTTGGAAAGAAGTTTTTTTTACTGTATTTCTCGTCATAATTACTTTAAACTCTACGGTTTTACAAAGTACTTAGTTATCAAAAGAAGTGCATTGTAAAATATCTTTATATTATACTACGCTAGCAACTTTTGAGTCTATATTCTTTGCTGACCGATAACATTTGCTGATTGTAATATATTTGGAGTTTCATATTACTTGTACACAAAGGTAGCCAATGAAGGGTTGAGTTAAAATGATTCAAATATGATAGTTAAATATTATGGCCATTTCAGAAGTCGTTATAAGCGAAGATACCAAAAGGGGCTTCAAACGGGAAACAATAAACAAGCAATGCGATACTCGTGTCCTACCAATAATCGTATTTTAGCGTTGTCACAAGCATAATCCTTAAGCACAACAAAAACAAATGTCAACAAGCAATTATCATAGTATTGCAAGCAATCCATAAGTCCCCTTCCGGTTAGAACCCAAGGAACATTCTGAAGAGCCATTTGTTTCCATTTTCTCATTTTTAAGAAAATTTTATGTTCTTTAAAAGTGATCACATGAGATTTTTATGAACAGCTACACTGAAGGACACTCTAAAGTGTTTTTTTAAACATCCCTGTTACCAAAATATAACATTTTAAAAGCAACATTCTTAAAGAGGAGATAACTCTTGAAATAAAGATCCAAGATGTCATACATGATGTGAGTGTAACAAACAACAATTAGTTATGAAGCTGTTCATAATGAATGTTTATTTTAAATTTGAAGTAAAAGAAAGTTAAAAGAATGAATAAGAAAAAGTCAAATTAAATTACCCACTCCACATAAGTTACAAAACTGTGGGCACACCAAACTAGCCTGATGAATGTCAGCACAAATGTGAAACAGTGAATTCATCTTTGCACAGTCAACAGTCTCATCATCACGACAACTCGTCGCTAAAAGAAAACAATGATAATATACTGTTTCAATAGTACTTGCAGAAGAAACAAGAAAATAGGTTTGCACATACGGTAATACTTATTAAACTAAATACTTTAACCATGTCACGTCACGTCTAGTTTATGATCAAGATCGATAGACGCTTCAAGTTGGAATCCTTTATGACGTCAATGACGTCAATGCACGCGAGGAAAACAGTCGAAACTATTGACCGATCAATAGTTCGCGAACGTGGACGTTTTTAGAATTTCAGGAAACAGTAAAAAATACCAAATTACATTTATATAAGGTATCAGGTAATAATATATGAAATAATAGTATATTAAAACGTGAATGATTTATTTTCAGACCTTCATTTATCCAAAGACCCAAACCGTTCCTATTTTCTTGGTTAGTCTTCTTAAATGGGTTTTATATTAATTGTTTATTTTAAATAAATAGAAAGAGGAAATTGTTGTGTCTGTACATATACATGAATTTTTCTGGTTATATAGACTGGCGAATACACATTTACGTATCTTCTTCAACTGTTTAATCTGACATATTCCAATTTTATCAATCAGATTAACTAAAAAACAAAAACAAAACACTTATAAAAGCTTTTTTATACACAGATCCAAAATGAAAAATTAAAGGTACTTTTATAAACGAAATTAAACGTGAAGTTGAATAATGCATTATGATAAAAACGAAGAAAGTAAATGCATACGTTTCGAGTGTTGACACAATAAAGAGTTACAGGAATCAGTAGAACAACATTCGTGACATTCAGAAGACTGTTTCTTTTGTACACTTCGTCCTACAATACCAGGTCCCGCTCCGGCAACACCACCACATTGCTTATATAAGAATATGAGAACAAAATCGACGTATACAGAATCTAATATTGCCAAAATAAGATTTGAACACACTGAGGGTAAATTGCAAATGGAAAGGTAGAATAATTGAGGACAATAATGTCTTTAAATCGCTTACAAGCGCTCACCAAAGGATATATTATAGTTGAAAAATGGAAACAAATATTATCACGGTAAGGCGACGTTCACATTAATTTTCTTAACTGTTTTTATTAACAGTGACCTAGACCTTGACCCTAAGGGAATCGAAAGAAATCACGAGATGTATTTATGTACAGCTTGCTATCCGCGAAGTTTCATTTAAACATGTCATCCAGAATTCTAGTTATTGACCTGAAATCTATTTCCTATTTTCAGCAACAGTGACCTTGATCCTAATTGGTTCCAAAGAAATCTTAAGGAAAGCTAACACATAAGCCTGCTATACATAAAGATATATCTTATTTTAAACTCAAGCTATTGATAGGAAACCGATTTTCTATTGCTATTAACAGTTACCTTGACCCTAGGGGGCAAAGGCAATCAAAGTGGCGGCATGGCCGAGTGGTTAACGTGTCGGACTAGTAATCTAATGATCGCTAGCCGCATGGGTTCAAACCCCGTCAGGGGCAAGTCGTTGTTTCCTTGAGCAAGAAACTTTACACTCATTGCTCAGTACTGGTTGGTTCCAGGAACGGATTCGAAAGTGTGTCTATAAGCTTATAGCTTCCTACACAATCGAACTAAAATAAATTCTGTATAAACCAAAGGCAATCAAAAACGAGATATTTATATAAGCTCGCTACTGTATACACAAAGTTTCATTGAATTACCTCATTCAAAACTCCAGTAATTGACTGGAAAACGATTTTCTTTTTTGTGCAATAATGACCTCTACCCGAGGAGGCCCAAATACACTCCCAAGCGAGGTCTAGGTGCTAGGGGGCGTGGTCGGTAACCTGCACTTTACAGTACCGTCCATGAACAGGCTCAATCAAACCGAGCCTGCAACATTTTACAAGTTTGCCGTGTTGGGCTTTCTTTAGGGATTCTGTTTATCACTATTTCACTTTTACATAAGCTTACTAAGTTTCAGTAAGATCAGAAGACCTGAAATTAAGTTTTTGACCGGAAACCATCTTGTATGACACCCGCCCGCTCGCCTTTACTTACCCCCAATCGAAATTGAAAACCTGGTTGAAAAAGATCAACTAGGAATGGCGGCATTCAAAGGACGCACCCCCTACACAACACAGCAGGCAGTTTAGCAGGATACACGATAACAACAGGAGAGGCCACAATGAAAAAGATACGGACGGGGTGTTAGAATGAACAATTCCAAGGAAGGAAATCACAGAAACCGACTTGATATTGAACAGGACATTAAAATGCCAACACAAAATATAAGGGAAAGAGGCAAGAGGGTGGAGGGGCCAAGAAACGAAAAGAAATATGTCAACCAAATAAACGCACAAATACTTGGACACAGGAGCAGGGCAACGGACAGATATGTGGAATTAAAAGGACGAAGTAGGGAGAAAGTATAAAGAAGTGAATCAACTAAAATAACAAACTGAGTCAGGGTTGTAATAGTCAAGTCAAAGCAAATTCTGATTACAGTATAAAATGTAATCTAGTTGTTTTGTTTTTTTTGAAGAAAAAACATTTAGACTCCAAGCATACGATAGTACCATTATTACACTACACTGCATTTGATATTGAATATTATGCATATTATATTGCGTTAGTTGAATGTCAATGTCAAGTAGCTAGGTGACCTACAGGAGAGAATATATTGTCATTGTTACATATTGATTAATTTCTATTTTCTTATTTTATGTTCCCTCTTATTTATTTTGATTTTTAAATTTAGTTGAAATTTCTGACGGGAAGTAAGTTTTCACGGCTTATGGCAAAAGAAAGAAAAAAAAAACATAAGTTAATTTTCCAACCTACCTGACTACCTGTGCAGCCCATATTGTATATACCTCCTTTCTCGTGAAGAAAACATACCTGATAATATGATATACATAATATTACATATCATAAATGCTGTCATAAATCAAATATGACATAAAGCGGTGTTGTGGGTAACCATGGATTTAGATATAATTAAACACTTATAAATTGGTATATTACAAATACATTGACAGTCCAATTTTTAACCGCCTCCGTGGTCGAGGGGTTAGAGTCGATGACTTCTAATCCAGTTACCTCTCTGGCGTGGGTTCGATCCCCGCTTTGGTAGTTTAGCGCAGAGGAAGGTTGTATAGTACTGGTGTAACTCTCCAGGAACGATGGTTAGGAAACTACCCGCCTATATGACTGAAATACTGTTGAGAAAAGGCGTAAAATGAAACAAACAAACAAACAAACAAACAAACATGTATATTTTCAATCAAAATGTTGGGTGTTATAAACATTTGAATGGATGGATGCATCATACCATGAAATATCAAGAAGATATTTTTCGTTTGAGTGAAAACATGATAAAATTCCATATACTTTCACGAGCCGGTACGGCAAGTGAGAAATATTGAATTTAATTATTTTAATAGAAAAGATATACCAAGTACATGTCACGAAAAATAATAGAAAGCACCAATTATTTAATTTTACCTTCAAAAAATAAAAAATAAAACAATTAAAAGTTACAAAACTTCCATTTGTTATGCATTTGCAGTTCTACAACACGCAGTTACAAATGACTATTTAATGTTACGGGATGCAGTTAATACACGATTAATCACAGCCACCTAGAACTGTCTTGAGAAAACATAACAAGCTAAGTTATGATAATAAAATGAGTTACTGAAGCTACAGACTGTCACAGATAATCGTCTGAAAAAGTAGTCCAAAATTGAATATTTAAGTTTTGACTTCGCCCATTTTCATATTCATTTTTCACATTTGTTTTTTTTTAAACAAATATGATATTTATTTGACTGATATAGCACCATATTTTATGGGTAAAATTAAATAATCATATACATGTTTAAAATAATAGTCATCTATATTTTACGAGTGTTAGGTGTCCGCATTTTAATCAAGGAATCGTTTGTTCGAGACTATGACGGATCAAGGCCATGTTTCATTTATAGTGAAATTTTATTTTTCAAACAAAGTTGTGATTATGATAATTACAATATATCAGGGCAATGTAAGAACATATCTTACTTGTAAACTTTGACAGGGCACAGTGATGTTGCACTGGAACGGGTCATCAATGTTCTGACAAAACAAACAGCTTAGTGAATCTGTAAAAATATGTAAGTGGCCAACATAATAATAAACTGAAAGAAAGAAATGTTAGAGCAAATAATAAGATAGATTCACAACACTCTTATGATTTTAAGCCAAAGAATTTCACATTCAACATAAGCAATGTACCTGAAACCACTTACTCAACTACTAAATAACTGAACTTTGCATACTGAATAAGAAGACTAATGACAATTGGCGCCAATTACAATAGAATTAAATTCTCATTTGACAAAATAAAATGTTCAATCAACAGTTACTTTACTTAGATTATTTCACTTTAATATAAGCTAATTTTCGCTGTTGAAAAAAATCTTTATTTATAGCTAGCCATCAAATAGAGTAACGATTTGAATGGTTATAACTAAATCAAACATTAATTGGTAGTCTATCTGTCCATTCTCTGGCTTCATGAAGAAACCATAACTCTAGGCCATGACATTCAACGTATTCAGCAGTAACAATTGTACGAAAACTCCGTACTCTTACCTATTTGGCAACACCATATCTCGGAACCCACTAATAGTAAAAAAATATCTGCATCTGAAAAAACATCGACATACATATTTATTTATGTAACAGGATATAAATACAAACTCACCTGATACACAATTTACTGCCATGACTGAAACATTCCAATGATGTATTCAATAATTATCAATTCATATTATATTAACATAAATAAAACATTATAAATCTACCAAATCTCGCCCATCTACCTACAGCATGTCCGATACCTGCGGCAGTCTTATTCTATTTATAATTAGACATCGTGACTTTTAGAGGGCACGAAACCAGATCTGAGGACACGTTTTTGGCAAAAACTTTTAAACGTTTATCGTACCATTTCAAACTTATGTGGCAGTACTATTTTAACTTGATTTTTCTTAATCTTTAAATTGAAATAACCAAGGAAAAAACACACATGTTTGACGCACTGCACATCACCAACACAGCACAGCAACACACCCACACGCACACACACGCACCCACCCACACACACACACCAACACACACACACACACACACACCACACACACACAAACAAACAAACAACCAAATGCCATAAATAAATTCTATTATGCTGCTCTTTTTCGTAATGTGGATTTAAACTTGATGGATAACTTGTTATTATTTAATGAGTTTAATTCATAAACATATTTCAGGCCCAAGCTATGTGTAACTTTAAATTAACCTATAAAGTCGTACTGACCTGTATTATCAACAACAAAAACTAAATAAATACATAAATAAATCGAAAAATTCAAACAAAGAAAGGCGACGTCCACAGAAGAGACCTCCGACATAACCTAAGTCACACTGGCAGGGCACTCAGTAGCACCGCTGTGAAAATTGTGGAGGGACAGGATTGTAATAAAAAAATCAAAGCTGCATCTCTGTGGTATTTTCTGATCTTTCCTGTATAAGTTTATTTTTATATACTATTATTCATCTTACGCAGCGACTGCGTTTAACAGTTTGTGATTGATACATATGGAATTTTGCATGCTTAGAGTTGCATCAAAAACCATTTTTCATTTTTTATTACAGCGACACTTTATCCTTGCATATCGTGGCAACTTCCTTAAAAAAGACACTTAAAAAAAAAAATGTTGCCTCGACAAGGATTTTAACCCTTAGGCCTCTCACACCCTAAACGAGCGCGCTACCTCTGCACCACAGTGAAGTAATACGTATGTTAGCGTGAATAAAAACAAATATATTGTAATTCTAAAATTGAGAATTTTCCTTTCGTATTTGTAATCCTTATTAATATCGAGGTATTTTGTTCACGATAAACCTGTTGTTAAACACTGATGAAAATAATTTAGCGAAAATCTTCTCGCCAAAACAGTCCGACATGTATATATTCCATTACTCGACAGTCAGAGTATTGTGTAATCGACATAGCTAAAAATAGCATTTTCATTGATTAAGCTTTACGGAAATAGTCGAACATTTTTCATTGGGTAAAAAAGATATTCATCCGCGAAATTTGTGATTGTAACCTCATATTTCTATTGACTAATGTAAACTTTTAATGCACTGTAATTCGTTAAATGCTTACATTAAAAATTATTCTTTCTTTTAAATTGCTGGTTTTTAAGCAGTTTTGAGTGAGAACTACTTTGCGTTGTTAGGTCTGAGAGGAAATTTTGTGTTAGACCGTGGATGTTAGCTATGTATTTACTGATCTTGCGATCAGAAAATACAATGATATGGGCCGCGGAAATGGCAAGGAATGGGACTTGGGGTGGATGGAAAAAAAATACTTACCGCTAACGATAATTTAACAAGATAGGGCATCACAGAACATGTAAACATACAAAACATGTATCAAATGAATACACAATGCAATTCCAAATGGAATTTAGATATAAAATAAATACAAATTCACCATTTTTAACGCTAAAATTAACGAAGGAAGACGTAAACAGAACACTGGGACTGTTATTTGAAAGGAATATAGTTGCTTTAAAATGAAAATGCATTGTTTTGAATGTCAAATAAATAAAGAAGCCACGCGCGTGCAAATAATTGTATATCAATATCAAATTATTTACGTTCACGCTGTTTTATCCTTAAAATAATCGACGACTCACAAACTGATAGGTTTTCTATATTATATCAATTATTCACTTTTTAATTATTTTTACGGATAAAAATGACTAGAAAGTAAATGTATTATTGGTTCAAATCGTATTTGTCAGGTTGTTTGACGAGATTAAATAAGATTAATCAGTAAAAAACATAGGACTATTGCGGCTTCTTCGGAAACATTTTCTTTCATTACGACGATGGTCTCGCAATAAAGACTGAATCTCTTGAACGGCCCCAAAAGTTTGTTTTACCTGATCAAGCACCTTAAGATTGGGCAAATGTCCCAACGCTGAAGTACTTTTAACTCATCAAGAAGTATGAAGTTTGGTGACGTTACTGAAATAAATAAAGCTGTTATCATCTTTCAACACTTCCCTCTGTCAAAGTTAGTTTGCTGACATACCTTGAGTGCATGTAGGTGACATTGCTTATGTTTAATCATCGCGCATATAAAACTTAATAACGTCTCGCGCAAATGTTGACTTAGTTCGGGTTTATTAGTCACTCCGATAAAAAAAACGGTGTAAAACATACACTTAAAAGTACTGTTGCTCAGATAACTTAGTGTAAATGAAATCATCATGCTGATAATGAAAATAATGATCAATGTAACGTTCAAGCTTCCAACCTTTGTAATTCAGTATAAAGAACATTTCAATTGAGTACTTTAACAAGCATCACATCTACCAGGGCCGAAAAAGATATAGAAATATTATTATCTTTCATTTTGCCTGCATTACATAAAACTGTCTGAATGAAAGAATAGTTTACAAGATAAATCAATCAAGGTCTGTATTCTTTATCGAAAATGTTCACCGACTTTTTCGAGTTGAATATGACTGTTATGGAAGGTCGACTGTAAATCTATAACACGCATGATATAAATTAAGTATTTAAAACTTAATACAAATAATTACCAGCATGAGACCTTGAATCGCGCGCATGAATCCTGTCATAAATGTCAATATAATAATTAGAAGTCATGCATTAAATGACTTCATAATTTGTTGATACAAATATTCACCATCATGAGACGAAGTATCGCGGGCTTAAACTAGCTCAGTAAGTCCAAAGACACAAGATAAGGACAAGAGTCATCTGCGTCATGTGCAAAATTTAGAACCTCTTATCATTTCACACAGGTCGAATAATGTGATGAAGACACTCTAGTTTATCTAAAACGTTATTCTTAATGAACTTACTGATAAGCAGATACTAATTTGTTTCAGTTTAAGTAGAACGACACATGTGCGGACCATTCAATCTCTTACATTTTACATTACATCCGTAAAGTGATAAAAATGAAATGTGACTGATCTGTTACCTACCAAATTGTTTCAGTGTCTGTTTAACGTTTTGTTTGAAATATTAACTTTTGATTGCTATAACCTCTAAAATAGATAGTTGAGCCGCGTCATGACAAAACCAACGTAATGTGTTTGCAAACAGTATGGATCCTGATCAGACTGCGCGGATGCGCAGGCTGGTCTTGATCCATGCTGGTCGCAAATCCATTATGTTGGTTTGTTATGACGCGGCTCATTTTATTTTACATTTAAGAAACTTATAGATATGGAATTCTAATGCCGTAAAATTTATCATAAAAATAACGATAATTAAACCGTCTGTGACATTGGAATAGTCTTAAGGGTATACAATTGATTTGATTACTCATCCTCACATTTTCCAGCGAAATATGGGGTATAGAAAATAGCAGTGACAAAGAATATGTTTATTTAGCACGGGGGAGGAAGTGTTACACGAAGGATGGAGTTCTTATGATAACTTGTTTGGAGTTCTTATGATAACTGTCACGGAGTTCCTGGAAAACGTTACGGATTTCTGTGGAAAACTTTTCTATATACTTGGAGAACTCGCGTAAAAAATGGTTATTTTTTACTTTAAATGGGGAGTTTGAGGTGCTACATTTAACTTTGATAATTAAGCTTGCCCTACATATTGTATTTTGTTTCAGAAAAAATATTTTAGCCCATATTTTGTCGCCTTTTAAAAAAAAATCTGGTAGTTTTGAGAAAAATTACCAAATTACTTGCTAATTCGTACATATTGACCTTTTCATTTGTGATCTTCTTCGTTGCTATACTTAATTACCTAATTATTATGGAGAGTTGCAAACATAAAGCCAATGCTAATAAATTTATACCCGATTTTTCAAATGTTACGGAGTTCTTGCGATAACTCAAAATATGTCCTGGAGTTCTTATGATAACTTTTGTTACTGCCAGTGTGTTTTTGTGCTTAATCACGGCACGTTTAAGCGTATTTTATTAGTCAATAAGTGTGTAAATCATTATAAAGCATAGTCCGCTTATCATTTGCACAACAATTTGGTTATATAACGTTGGTTTTGATCGTGTCCTTCAGTTCAAGAGATATTTTTCTTACCTCCGTTTCTTGTG